GTAATGACAGGAGTCGATTCGCAGACATCATACGCGTCCGTCTGTCGCATTCAGAGGCCAAAAACTATTCACTATGAGTGAGATTCTTGGTAAGTGCTGTTTGTTTTCTCAACTTAAGTCGAGTTAGGAAGCTCTACGAGTCCCCCGGCGGTAACCAAGGTTGACGGTTTACCGCCGGCGCCCAGTCTTCACGGCCCCCTCCACAATCCTATGCAAAACATTTATAAACTGATCATGCGTGTTCCCAGGCGCGCCCCTGGATCGAGCCTGCTATGCGGATCTTCACGGCCCCTTCCACAATCCTATGCAAAACATATCATAAACTGATCACGCGTGCTCCCAGGCGCGCCCCTGGATCGAGCCTGCTATTGTGATCTTTACGTCCCGCTATGTAAACAACCATATGCAAAACATAATATAAACTGATCATGCGTGTTCCCAGGGGGGCCCTGGATCGAGCCTGCTATGCTGATCTTCGCGGCCCCCTCCACAATCCTATGCAAAACATATTATAAACTGATCACGCGTGCTCCCAGGCGCGCCCCTGAATCAAGCCTGCTATGGAGATCTTTACGTCCCGCTATGTAAACCATCACAATCCTATGCAAAAAAAAAAAAATACACACTGATCATGCGTGCTCCCAGGCGCGCCCCTGGATCGAGCCTGCTGTTGGGATCTTTACGTCCCGCTACGTAAACCACAACAATCCTATGCAAAGCACGTTGAGGTCGGGCGAACCCTCGAGTGCGCTCGACCCGACCCGACCCGCTTGTTACGGTTCACGCGTGTTTCTGGGAGGCAGAGCTCTCCCCCACAGCTCTCCCCAGGCGCGCCCCTGGATCGAGCCTGCTATACGGATCTTCGCGGCCCCCTCCACAATCCTATGCAAAACATAGTATAAACTGAGCATGCGTGTTCCCAGGCGCGCGCCTGGATCGAGCCTGCTATGCAGATCTTCGCGGCCCCTTCCACAATCCTATGCAAAACATATTATAAACTGAGCATGCGTGCTCCCAGGCGCGCCCCTGGATCGAGCCTGCTATGGTGATCTTTACGTCCCGCTATGTAAACTACGATATGCAAAACATAATATAAACTGATCATGCGTGTTCCCAGGCGCGCCCCTGGATCGAGCCTGCTATGCGGATCTTCACGGCCCCCTCCACAATCCTATGCAAAACTTATTATAAACTGATCATGCGTGCTCCCAGGCGCGCCCTTCAATCGAGTCTGCTATGGGGATCTTTACGTCCCGCTACGTAAACCATCACAACCCTATGCAAAAAAATATTACACACTGATCATGCGTGCTCCCAGGCGCACCCCTTGATCGAGCCTGCTATGGGGATCTTTACGTACCGCTACGTAAACCACCACAATCCTATGCAAAGCACGTTGGGGTCGGGCGAACCCTCGAGTGCGCTCGACCCGACCCGACCCGCTTGTTACGGTTCACGCGTGTTTCTGGGACGCACATCACTCACTCAGGCTGACGCCAGCACTCCTTCCCCCCTTGATAGGGGGGAGCGTGGCTTCTGCCCACCCCACCGCGCATCGCCGTCGCCGTCTACGAGAGACAGGGCTTCTCTGAGATGCTTCAGCTGGTTGCCCGACTGGGTCGTCCTGGTAGCCTAGGGCTACCTAACCCCACGCTTGGGGATCTACGATGCAAAGATAAACCATGCTTGATCTTCGAAGAGTACAACACCCTAAACCCGGGGACCTTTCGTCCTCTGATGGCGCTCTACATGTCCCCGACACGTAAAAACACGTGTGGGGCGCTCTAAGCGCTTCTGGGCGCACTTGGGAGCGCCTGGAAGCGCTTGGGAGCGCTTGAGAGCGCCTGGGAGCGCCTGGGAGCGCCTGGGAGCGCGTGGGAAGCGCCTGGGAGCGCCTGGGAGGGAGCGCCGGGGAGCACCTGGGAGGAGCGCCTGGGAGCGCGTGGGAGCGCGTGGGAGCGCTTGGGAGCGCCGGGGAGCGCCGTGGAGCGCCAGGGAGCGCCAGGGAGCGCCGGGGAGCGCTTGGGAGCGCCTTGGAGCGCCTGGGAGCGCCGGGGAGCGCCGGGGAGCGCCTGGGAGCGCTCGGGAGCGCCTGGGAGCGCCTGGGAGCGCCTGGGATCGCCAGGGAGCTCCTGGGAGCGCTTGGGAGCGCTTCGGAACGCGCCGGGAGCGCGTGGGAGCGCCAGGGAGCGCCTGGGAGCGCCTGAAACCGCTTGCGAGCGCCAGGGGGCGCCTGGGAGCGCCAGGGAGCGCCTGGGAGCGCTTGGAACGCATTTGGGAATTTAAGGGCCAACGGCCCTAAACCCTAAAAGGCTTTAGTATGGGAAGTTGCCGGCCATGCGGCCGGGGGTGGGAAGATGTTGCACCTCCTGCGCCCTTCGCCAAGCTTGCTCGGGTCGGCTAACCGCCCCCCCAATCAAGCTTGCCGAAGGGGGGGCAGCATTGCCTGGACTGTCGGCCGCTGCGCTAAGAGAAGCCCTAAACCCTAAACCCTAAACCCTAAACCCTAAACCCTAAACCCTAAACCCTAAACCCTAAACCCTTAAGACGAAAAGCACCACGTATTGAGCAAGCTCGAGCGATATCTCGACGAGCGATGGGAACAATGTTGACGGCCGCGATAACGTGTGGCGGCATTGTCGACCCCAATCAGCACGCCCAAATGATCTCGCGCCAGAGTGCGCAGCGTGCGAGCGGGCACGCGCGGAAGCAAATTCAGCGCGCGCCAGAATGCGCCGCGTGCGAGCGGGCACGCACGGGAGCGCTTTCGGGGCGCGCCAGAGTGCGCCGCGTGCGAGCAGGCACGCACGGAAGCGTTGTCGGGGCGCGCCAGAGGGCGCCGCGTGCGAGCGGGCGCGCGCGGAAGCGCTTTCGAGGCGCGCCAGGGTGCACCGAGTGCGAGCGGGCACGCACGGGAGCGCTTTCGAGGTGCACCAGAGCGCAGATTCCGCGCGGGCCAGAGCGCGCCGCGTGCGAGCGGGCACGCACGGAAGCGCTTTCGGGGTGCGCCAGAGTGCGCCGCGTGCGAGCGGGCACGCACGGAACCACATTCGGAGCGCGCCAGAATGCGCTGCGCGGGAGCGGGCACGCATGGAAGCGTTGTCGGAGCGCGCCAGAGTGCGCCGCGTGCGAGCAGGCACGCGCGACAGCAAATTCGGCGCGCGCCAGAATGCGCCGCGTGCGAGCGGGCACGCACGGAAGCGCTTTCGGTGCGCGCCAGAGTGCGCCGCGCGCGAGCGGGCACGCACGGAAGCGCTTTCGGGGTGCGCCAGAGGGCGCCGCGTGCGAGCGGGCACGCGCGGAAGCGCGTTCGAGACGCGCCAGGGTGCACCGAGTGCGAGCGGGCACGCACGGGAGCGCTTTCGAGGTGCACCAGAGTGCGCCGCGTGCGAGCGGGCGCGCGCGAGCGGGCCGGAGCGCGCCGCGTGCGAGCGGGCACGCACGGAAGCGCTTTCGGGGTGCGCCAGAGTGCGCCGCGTGCGAGCGGGCACGCACGGAACCGCATTCGGAGCGCGCCAGAATGCGCCGCGTGCGAGCGGGCACGCACGGAAGCGTTGCCGGGGCGCGCCAGAGTGCGCCGCGTGCGAACGGGCACGCATGAAAGCAAATTCGGCGCGCGCCAGAGTGCGCCGCGTGCGAGCGGGCACGCACGGAAGCGTTGTCGGGGCGCGCCAGAGGGCGCCGCGTGCGAGCGGGCACGCACGCGCGCGCCTTCGAGGTGCGCCGACGTGCGTCATCCTCGAGCGGGCGCGCACGAAACTGTGTTTTTCCATTCCGAATGGGCCGAAACCTTGTGTTTCTACGAGGGACCTTATTTCGGGGACCGAGCATCCCGCAGCACACCCCGCAGACCTTAATACGTAGTGTAAACCCTAAACTGCAAGCCACGGGCGGTGCAACGTCCGCAGCCCGTGGCGTCTGGCCGAGCGCTCAGCGAGCCTGCCCATACAGCGTGCGCCGCACCGACGAAGCGGCGATAGCCGCTGAGGAGGAATTCGCACGCCGCGCGTTGCATCCCCGTGGTGTTCTCCTAAGAAAAGAAACCCCTAACCCTCAGCCCTAGCAAGCGGGTCCCCTACGGTCCGCTACATCCCCAGGGGCTCCAAACCTACGAAAATACAGCATTCGGCGCCCTTTCGGCCGTCCGTGGGGCCGCAAACCATATGAAAATGTTGACTCGTATAATGCCCCCACCAGGGAGGCCGCCTCGGAGAGATCGACAGGGCGAGTGGGGGAAAGGTCGGGCCACGGCCCGTCGCCCTTGGACGATGTATTTTCCACTCTCCAGGCGACCACGTCGCTGGCGACTTGTGTGAGAGAGAGGCTAGCCACTCCGAGGGCCCGACGGCGTCTGAGGTCCAGCAGCGCCGGGGCCGAAAAGGCGTCGGCCAACCAAGTCCTGCAGCTCATTAACAGAACATTAACAGTACCTATATGCAAAGGGTGGCTCGCGGGCGGGGAGCAAAGAGGGGCTGTAGAGAGTTCTGTTCAGCCGTATCCTGGTACGGCACACGGTGGGGAGGCCCGCTGGACAACACATAGCGCGCGAGCACGTACAATGTTGACTCGTATAATGCCCCCACCAGGGAGGCCGCCTCGGAGAGATCGACAGGGCGAGAGGGGGAAAGGTCGGGCCACGGCCCGTCGCCCTTGGACGATGTATTTTCCACTCTCCAGGCGACCACGTCGCTGGCGACTTGTGTGAGAGAGAGGCTAGCCACTCCGAGGGCCCGACGGCGTCTGAGGTCCAGCAGCGCCGGGGCCGAAAAGGCGTCGGCCAACCAAGTCCCATATCACAAAATGGAGAGCAGCTGGGGAGAAAATCCCATAACACTCCACTGGCCCACGGCCGCAAAATAACTACTCATGCCAGAAAAGAGAGTCCACGAGCCTCGGCTTTGCAGGCGGCGGCCCGGACAGCAGGCGGAAGCTTTGTTACAACAAACCAGGGCATGCAACAAACTGCTCCTGTCCCAAGACATGTGCGAAGAGCTAACTACTCATGCCAGAAAAGAGAGTCCACGAGCCTCGGCTTTGCAGGCGGCGGCCCGGACAGCAGGCGGAAGCTTGCGGATGGCCGCGAGGAGGCGGCCAGCCTTCTCATATCTCTGCACGCTGCGGAAAGAGGCCCAGCGCCCGCGCGCCTGGATCTCGGGCAGCGTCCTGGCACGGCGGAGGAAGTCCTCGCTGGGCCCGCCGTGCCTGGCGAGGTGAGGCGTGACTTTGAAAGGGATGCCTACGGCCTGAGCGGCCCTCTGCAGCACTTTATTGTACGAGGCATACGTGTGGCTAGGGAGCAGCGTCTGCGAGCGAGAACGGCGAGCCTGGCGGATGAGCGCGGCGAAGGCACCGATCACGCCAGGTCGGCTGGCCTCATCAAGGAGGACGGTGTCATCCTGCACGCCGGTCTTGCTGGTACGGATGCCGATGAGATGGCCGGCCACCTGGCTGGACGGCGCGACGACCATCCCGTACTTGTTGTAGTGAACCCCAGCGTGCATGCCCGGCGTGAAGCACGCGACCAGGGGCATGAGCACCAGCTCCGAGGGCCGCAGGTAGGTGTCGAACTGCACAACGAGGCCGCGGGCGGCCTCGAGGTCCGACTCGACGCCAGTCCGCGACAGGTGGTACGCCATCAGCACCGCGGCCGACCACGGGAGGGGATCCGAAGTCGAGTCAGGCTCCAGCTTGCCCCAGCCAGCCATGGCAGCGCGAGCGAGCGGGAGGACCCCAGGCTGGCGGAGGCTGACGTTGAAGTGGTCGGCGACAGCAGCCAGCGCATACCGAGCGTCGCCCCGCGACCGCTCGGCTACGAAGAGCTCCTCGAGGAAGCGGTCGAGGGCGGCGTCCACGGCAGGGAGGTCGCGGGCGGTCCAGCGCGCCGGGTCCAGGCCCATCTGCGCGGCGAACTCGTGCAGGCTGGCGTGGTACCGCTCGGCGGTCGTGGCGGTCACCCTCGAGCGCCGGAGGAAGCCAGGGTTGTAGTCAGCGGGCTCCCGCCGGGCGCGCGGCCGCCGCGCGGCACCGGCAGCGGCGGGGCGCCGGCGCACTGGCCCGCGGCCCTCGGCCGGAGCCTCCTCCAGCGGGGGGCCTCGGGGGCCCCCAGACGCCGCCCCACTGCTCGGCGTCCGACCTCCAGAGCGGGGCCCAGCGCGAGGGACAGGTCGGGCACGGGAGCGCCCGAGGACCGAAGTCGCAACCCGCTGCCCGGCAGAGGTCAGCCTGCCATCGTTCCTCGAGTAGTGGAGCACCATCTGGCCTCTTGGCGCCGCGCGGCGCTGCCGCTGCCAAGATGCTGGCAGCGAGGTGGCAGGCACCCGGGGGGTACGCGCCGGCCAACGTGGTCTTCCACTGATGCTTGAGCCCTCCCGTGGGCGCACGGACACGTACCTTCCCAGACAAGTGCTCGTGCCTGTGGCCCCCTTCGCAGAGCAGGCCGATGTCGTGCAGGGCCCCCAGACTTGAGACGATGGTGGTGGGCTTCTTGTAGGGCGCGCCGAACCGGCAGCAGTGATAGGTAGCCCAGGAACGCGAGTGCTGGTCCAAGAACTTCCGGAGTGGGGCCCAACGGAAGAGGCCCGAGGACTGGGGGTTCTCCAGAGACCAGTGAATCCCGTAGCGGCTGCAGACCTCCAAGAGACGCACCGTGACGTGAGCGCACCGACGGGCCGCCCTGATGGCGGAGACCTCGCGAGCCCCTCGCCGAGAGATGGACCACGGGGTGCACGGGGTGCCGAAGTGGACGAACCAGACGGCCCGGGAGGTGATCCAGGAACGCACCTGAGACTCGACCTTCGGGTTGAGGAGGTCGCACCAGGGCCCGTGCTTGATGTCCATGGGGGCCGCGACGACGAGGCCCGCCTGGGCCAGGGCACCAGTCCAGCGCCCGCAGCCCGAGAAGACCTCCAAGGCAGCCCGGGGTCGCGGAGCCCGCGCAGCGGTCGGCGTAGTGGAAGCAGACGTAGCAGGAGGCCGAGAGGACGGACTGTGATCTGACGTTTCATCCACTCGAATTGGCTGCATCCTGGGCCCACACCGGCCCCAGCGGCCGGCCGAGCCTCGACAGGGCGGCGGCCGGCGGCGGGTGGAGCCCGTGCCTGCGACAGCGTGGCCGCCACGCGGCCGCCTCGGCCAAGCCACCGAGGGGGCCGGGAGGCCCGGCGGGGGCGCGAGCCAGGCAGGTTTGCGCGGCCCCTGCCGGCCTCGCCGAAGGAGCACGTCACGCGGGGGGGCCGGCACGCGCCTGGGGTGCCTCGGCGGGCCGTCGCAGGGGAGCGGCCGAGGGGTGTGACGGCAGAGGTCTGAATCCTCCCCCCCTCGTCGGCACGCTGGGTCCCCCGCGACGGCGGGCGCCGCCAAGGCGGCGGCAGCCCGAGCCGGCCCCGCAGCGCCGGCATCCTGCCCCAGGGGCGGCGGCGGGGGCGGGGCCGCACCGGGCCGTCCCACAGCCCCCGCGGCGCCGGCGCCAGGCCCCACGCGACGCTGTCCAGGGCGGTACAGCCCCTGCAGGGCCTTGCGCGAGCCACCATCGCTGATGTTCCTCTCTGTGTCGAGGTATCGGCGCCGCCAGCGGATGCCGGTGGCCACCTGGATGGCAGCACTGCGCCTGCACACGGAGCCGAGGCCGACGTCGACGGCGCGGCCCTTCTCGGTCGAGAGCACCTCGGCCATGTTGTCCCCGAGGCTGAGGACGCGGCGCCCGTGGCACTCGAGGCTCCTGGAGGCGTGTCGGAGCCCCGCGAGGGCGATTCGGGCCTCCAGGATGTGGATGGGCGCCCGCGTCCTCCAGGCACCTTCCACGACCAGCGACCAGGCGTCAGGGGCGACGAGCTCGTCGGGGATGTCCTCGAAGGTCGCCCGCCGCGGGGCCTGTGCAACCCGAGCCCGCACGGTACCGCGGGGGCGCTCGTCGGCCCTCCTCGGTGGCGGGGCCCAGGTCGCAATGCCGCAGCTGGGGTCCCCCTCACCGAGCACCCCTCCAGCGCCAGGAAGCCAGCCGGGCGTGTAGGTGTCGTCCTCCAGGGCCTCGGGCCGCTTCTCGTCGGGCGTGAAGCGCCAGCGCTCCCGAAGGCGCGCGAGTCGGCGCACCGCCTCGGGGTCGCAGCGCCGGCGGTGTAGGGCGTAGCCCGCCTCGGAGGAGTCGGAGCAGAGCACGATGTCCGACACGGGCGCGGCGAGGTCGACGACCGCCTGGAAGATGAGCCCTCGGAAGACACGGACCTCCTGCCGAGCGGGACCCGGCAGAGGCGAAGGCGGCCCGAGCCGGCACTCGTCCACGTACCTGTAGAGGTGGCGGAAGATGGACATGGCTGGCCGCAGGAGGAGACAGTGCTGGATGAAGTGCCCGAGGACGACCCGCACCTGCCACGCAGCACGGGGCACGCCCGGGCGCTCCAGCTCCAGGCAGGCGAGGTAGAGCCGCCAGGCCCGCTCGTCGGAGTGGCGAAGAGTCCGACGGAGGCCATCATACACCACGCCCACCATACCGAACTCGAGGGACGGCTCGCAGACCTCGTGGTACACGATGCCCCGGCGGTCGAGCTCCTCCATGACGCTGGCCAGGCCCGCCGCGGCATCGGCGGCGGAGAGACCCAGGATCCCCACGTTGTCGACGTAGACGGAGCCGGCGGGCCTGCCCGGGGCCGCCGGGCGCGGCGGCTGACGGTCCAGGACGAGGCTCGCAGGCCCGCCTGAGAGCGCGTGACCCACCCACGAAGTGACCGAGGAGTGCACGACCCAAAGAGCCCAGCTCCAGCCCATGGCGACGCCACGAAAGGCGGGGAACACCACCTCGTCGGCGCCGACGGGGATGAAGCGGCCGCCCTCCCAGACGTGCGTCGCCCCGTACACCGACGCGGGCTCGGGGTAGTCCATCCCGAAGTCCTCCGCGAGGGCGTCCGAGCAGAACTGGTAGAAGCTGTCGGCCAGGTCGAGCGAGGCACCGTAGATGGCGGGCGCCGAGGTCGCGTCGGAGGCTCCCAGGGCGGCGTCCGACCAGTCCTGCTCGGCGAGCGCGGCCGGAGTCCCGAGGGCAGCGTGCGGAGGACTCCAGTGGGTCCGGTTCGTCTCGCGGGCGTCGACCACGAGCCTGATGAACCCACCCTTTTTCTCGACGAAGAAGCAGCCCACGCGAGCACGAATACGCCGACGGTAGCCGACAAGGCCTCGCTCCGCCAGGCGGCGGACGAACCTGACCCGCGCGTCGGGCGAGCCAGCGAGGTGAGGGTCCCAGTAGGGCACGATGGGGTCGAGCACCTCCGCATCAGCCAAGAAGACCCTGTCCGGCTTCCGCACGTACCGATCGGGGTCGGCGAAGGCGCGGACGACGAAGTCGGGGCAGATGTCCTCGACACGCTTCGGGACGATCTTCGACTTCCAGAACTTGAGCTTGTCCTCACTGTAGGGTGCGACCTTGGAGGGCGCCCCGGCGTACAGCGAGTCGGACTTGAGGAGCTCCTGAAGGGCCCCGCGAGGTGTGAGCCCAGGCGGCCGTGGGCCGTGCCGGCCGATGTTGCGACGCAAGTGGGCGAGGCAACTGGCCTGCGTGGCGGAGGGCTCGCCGGGCTTGGTGGAGCCACGGGCTGGCACGCTGCCGAACCCGTGGACCGAGGCACGGGAGAGGTCGTTGATCGAGCGAACGGCTTCCCGAAGTCGGTGTTCGCGACAGCGTCGACGTACGGCACGGAGGGCCAGATACCTCGGCGCGTCAGCCAGGTCCACGAACCCGGAGGGCTGCGGGACCGGAAGGGGCAGAGGCTCACCATGACGACGATGATCACGACGAGCCATGCCGAAGAGAACAAAACTGCGGACGTGGAGGAGCCCACGCCGGGAAGGCCGGCCCGGCGCCGCGGGGCGGTGAGCCCGCCGGCCGGGACGGCAGGGTAGGGGGCCCCTCGCCCGCCTACCCGCTGCCCTCCTTCTTGGGGTGCTTCGGCGGCTTGTCCTTGGAGCCGCCCGCCGAAGTCTCCTCCCGCCACTGCCTCCCTGCCTTCATGATGGCCGCCTCGGACCGCTGCTGCTCGCCGACCCAGGCATCGAAGGCCGGGAGCACGAAGCCGCCGGACTCGTCGATGGCGGCGTCCAGCACCACGTCGAGCCCGTCGAAGTCGGGCTGCCTCGGGTTCCGCCTGGTGGCGGCCTCGAGCTGCTTCAAGCGGCGCACCATGTACTCCACCCCCGCCACGTTGTAGAGGTCGAGCTGGTCGAACTGCTGCATGATGCGGAGCACCGAGCAGAGCATCCGGTGCTCGCGGGCGGTGTTGCTCTTCTCCGGGATGCCGGACCTTCTCACCCACGTCGTGTGGTGTTCGTCCCAACCCTCCTGTCCGGCATCCCGAAGAGCGAGGCAAGCCTCGCGTGTGGCCCGCTTCCCCTTGAGGGGCCACCCAGGGATGGCCTGCTCGCGCATCTTCGAGACAGAGGTCCGGAAGCTCATGAAGCGATCCTTCTCCTCGTCCCGCTCGTCGCCGGCGATGCGCGGGTCGCGGCCAGGCCCTCCACGCGCCCGAGCCTGCCACTCCTCGAAGGAGCTGCCGGCCTCGACCCGCACCGCCGTCTGCCACACGTCGTCGATGAGCACAAGGCCCACCTCGCCCCGGCGGAGGAGCAGCTCGTCGTTGCCCAAGGCGGCCGCGGGCACCTCCTCCCCGTAGTGGAGCGAGGTGGGGTCCGAGACGAACCAGCGCTCGTCCACGGCGAGGGGGGCGGCCGAGGCGGGATACCCGAGGATGTCCCCCAGCGCCCGCGCCTCGCGGTAGTACTGGTGCATCTCTGCGGCGTCCACATCGGCATCGTCGAAGACGTAGATGTTGCCCCGATAGCGGTCGGGGAAGGCGCCCCCCCGCTGGAGGGCGCACACGCGGAAGCCTCCTAAGTTGGCCGCCGCGATCTCCCCGTCGGGAGTGACCCAGACCCACCATTGGTCTGGCCCTTTGACCAGGAGGACCCTGTGGTGCCACTGGAAGTTCTCGTCGTCGTCGTACCGCACCAGGCACTGGGCGTAGGGCACGTCAAGCGCCCTCGGCATTCACAGCACCAGCCCGCCTCCGCACTCGCTGGAGGGTCGCCGGCGTCGCCGCACCGACGCGCTCCCCAGCAGGCCCCTCCGCGAGGGCCAGCGGCGGCAGGACGGCGCGAGGCGCCCCCACCCGCAGCAGCCAGGCAGCCGCAGCGGCCACGCCGGCGGCGAAGCTCGCGAGCCCGACGAGGACCACGAGCGCCCAGGCCCCGGACGGGGCCGCTGGGGCCGGGCACTGCGGACAGACGCAGGCCGGGCACGCGGGGCAGGCCGCCCCGAGGTGCTCCGGGCCGCAGCGCGAGAGCTGCTCCCGGAGGATGTCCAGCACGCCCGAGCCCGGCTCGTGCCCGCTGAAGATGCAGGTGCAGGACGGGTCCGCGGGCGGCGCCGGCGCGGACCAGCGGGACGCGAGGATCCCAAGAACCCAGCCAGCCGCCGCCTGCATGCACGGGGCGGCGAGACTGGTGCCCAAGAAACCTTGAGCAAAGAGGGGCTGTAGAGAGTTCTGTTCAGCCGTATCCTGGTACGGCACACGGTGGGGAGGCCCGCTGGACAACACATAGCGCGCGAGCACGTACAATACAACATGCGGCGCCCTTTCGGCTGGCGCACGTCCCAGGCGCCCCCAAGCGCTCCCAGGCGCTCCCAAGCGCTCCCAAAAATTCCCTAGCGTTCCCAAGCGCTCCCAGGCGCTCCCCGGAGCTCCCAAGCGTTCCCAGACGCTCCCAGGCGCTCCCAAGCGCTCCCAGGAGCTCCCAGGCGCTCCCCGGCGCTTTCGGCACGCTCCCAAGCGCTCCCAGGCGCATGGCGCTCCCAGGCGCTCCCAGGCGCTCCCGGCACGCTCCCAGGCGCTCCCTGGCGCTCCCAGCATGCTCTCAGGCGCTCCCAAGCGCCCCCAAGCGCTCCCAAGCGCTTTCAGGTACTCCCAAGCGCTCCCGGCACGCTCCCAGGCGCTCCCAACATGCTCAGGCGCTCCCTGCGCGCTCCCAAGCGCTCCTTGGCGCTTCCGAGCGCTCCGGCGCGCTCCCAAGCACTCCCAGGCGCTCCGGCACGCCCCCAGGCGCTCCCGGCACGCTCCCAGCACGCTCCCAAGCGCTCCCAGGCGTTCCCATGCGCTCCCAGGCGCTCCCAAGCTCCCACAAGTGCTCCCAAGCGCTCCCTGGCGCTCCCAAGCGCGTTTGAGCAGTCCAAGCGGTCCCATGGCGCTCCCAAGCGTTGCCATGCATTCGCAAGCGCTCGGCAGCGCTCCCTGGCGGCACTTCCTGGCGCTCCCCCGCCATGCAGGTGCTGCCGCAGCCATGCGCGCGCGTCGTAGCGAGGGGGTGCCAGACCCACCCCCTCGCGCTCCCCCTCCAGCCATGCGAAATTCGCGCCGAAGGCGGCTGCGTCGACAATGCAATCGCTTCAGCGGGGGCGACGCCAACGGTCAAGCCCAACGGACAATTCACGGCTCGCACTCGCGGTGCACTCTGCGTGTCCTGTCGCGCTCCCAGACGCTCCCACGTACTTCCATCCTGGGGAAAGGTCGAGGCGCTCCCCCAGCGCTCCCAGAGAGCTCCCCCGAGGCATTCCAGAGGGTCTGCCATGGACGTGCTGCCGCAGCCATGCGCGCGCATCGTAGCGAGGGGGTGCCAGACCCACCCCCTCGCGCTCCTCCTCCCGCCTTCCGAAGCTCGCGCCGACAGCGTCCGCGTCGATGATTGCAATCGCTTCGGCGGGGGCGGCCTCAAAGGCGAAACCCAAAGCCGCGGGCGAATGCAACTGCCGTGCGCGTCGCCGTCAGCGAGGAGCCCAACGGCGCGGCCACTCGCTCGAGGCCCACGGGAACCCATGGGATTGCCACGGCAGCGCCCTCGCAGTGCTGCTTTCCTACGCCGAAGGCAAATGCCAGACCCCTGTGGATCTGCTGCGCCAGCGGCAGCCCAACGGCGAAGCCCCCTGCCGAAGGCGCAAACGGCTGCCTCATCGACGAGGCGAGCTGGCGCGCCAGCGCCATGCACCCTGCGCGCGTGTTCGCATGGGCGCGCATTGCCACGGCCGCGGCCGCGCGCGCGCTTCCCAGCATTCGCAGCCCAGTGTCACAACCCAGTGCCGACAGCAAAAGCGACAACACATGGGCATGCTGCGCCAGCGGCAGCCCAACGGCGAAGCTAATCGCCGCCATCGCCAACGGCTGCCTCTTCGACGGGACAACGAGCCGAAGCGCCGCCTACGCCACGCGCCCTGCGCGCGTGCTCACATGGATGCGCAGTGCCACGGCCGCGTCGGCGATCGCCTGCGCGCGCCACTTCGACAGCCCCCCGTGATAGGGGGGTTGGGGGGAGAAACCCTAAACCCTAAAAGGCTTCACTCTGGGTGGTCTGGGGCGGGAGTGCGACTAACCGTGGCGCGCGCGGCTTGGGCAGCGATCCCCCCCAACAACCTTGATGTGGGGGGGATCGCAGCCAGCGCGCGCTTGCGCTAATGCAGGCCCTAAACCCTAAACCCTAAACCCTAAACACCCTAAACTGCAAGCCACGGGCGGTGCATCGTCAGAAGCCCGTGGCGTCTGGCCGAGCGCTCAGCGAGCCTGCCCATACAGCGTGCGCCGCACCGACGAAGCGGCGATAGCCGCTGAGGAGGAATTCGCACGCCGCGCGGTGCATCCCCGTGGTGTTCTCCTAAGAAAAGAAACCCCTAACCCTCAGCCCTAGCAAGCGGCTTCCCTACGGTCCGCTACATCCCCTGGGGCTCCAAACCTATGAAAATACAGCATGCGGTGCTCTCTGGGTGCTCCAAACCTATGAAATTACCGCATGCGGCGCTCCAAGCGATTCCAAACGCTCCAGGCGCTCCCAAGGACTCTCCAAGCGCTCCCGGCACGCTCCCAGGCGCTCCCAGGCGTTCCCATGCGCTCCCAGGCGCTCCCAGGCGCTCCCAAGCGCTCCCAAGCGCTCCCAAGCGCTCCCAGGCGCTTCCAAGCTTTCCCAGGCGCTCCGGGCACGCTCCCAAGCGCTCCAAGCGCTTCAGGCGCTCCCGGCACGCTCCCAGGCGCTCTCGGCACGGTTCCAAGCGCTCCCACGCGCTCCCAATTGATCCCAAGCGCTCCTGGGCGCTCCCGGCACGCCCCCAAGCGCGTTCCCAGGCGCGTGCTCCCAGGCGCTCCCAGGCGCTCCCAAGCGCTCCCGGTACGCCCCCAAGCGCTCCCGGCGCTCGCAGGCACTCCCAAGCGCTCCCGGCACGCTCCTGGCGCGCTCCCAGGCGCTCGCAGGCGCTCCCCAGCGTTCCCAGCGCTGGCACGACTCCGAAGCGCTCCTAAGCGCACCCTGGCGCTCCCAGGTGCTCCCAGGCGCGCAAGCATTCCCACGCGCTCTTAAGCGCCCACAAGCGCTCCAAGGCGCCACGCGGCGCTCCCATGCGCTCCCGCGCGCTCCCGCGCGCTCCCAAGCGTGCCCAGGCGGTTCCAGGCGGCCCCAGGGGGAAGCTCCAGGCGCTCTCCCAGCGCTGCCAGAGGGCCCCTCCAAGGAATTCCACGGGCTCTGCCATGGAGGTGCTGCCGCAGCCATGCGCGCGCATCGTAGCGAGGGGGTGCCAGACCCACCCCCTCGCGCTCCCCCTCCAGCCGTCCGAAGCTCGCGCCGATGGCGGCTGCGTCGATGATTGCAATCGCTTCAGCGGGGGGGCGACCTCAAAGGCGAAACCCAAAGCCGCGGGCGAACGTAACTGCCGTACGCGTCGCCGTCAGCGAGGAGCCCGACGGCGCAA